GCATGCATGCATGCGCACCGTCACAAAACACGGCAATTTGCACGCTCCGTCCACACATGCGGGCAATGTCGAAAGCACAGCGATATAGGAGTGGATTGCGTTTGGACAGCTGGGTGGCTGCACCCGCAGTCACCTCCACCGGTTCTCCTAAACCAGTCCGAACCGGCTGAATGCCACCTCTGGCTGGGAAGGTTACAAATGGGGATCACGTGACCCCCAGAACATCTATAAATACATAACAGTTGCCGAGAACCTGGATTTTGATCATGTGACTCTGGGGATGCTGCAACAGTTATAAGTGTGAAAAACGGTCATAAATCACTTTCTTAAGAGTGTTGTGTGTTCTACCTTTGGCATCTGGTGACTTTAAGCCAATCACCAGGAGACGGTGAGCTCTAGTGTTAGCTTAAGCATGAAAGCCAACTGGGTGACTTTGGGCCAATCACCAGGAGACGGTGAGCTCTAGCTTCATCTTAGGCATGAATGCCAGCTGGGTGACTTTGGGCCAATCACCAGGAGACTGTGAGTTCTAGTGTTAGCGTAGGCATGAAAGCCAGCTGGGTGACTTAAAGCCAATCACCAGGAGACGGAGAGTTCTAGTGTTAGCTTAAGCATGAAAGCCAACTGGGTGACTTTGGGCCAATCACCAGGAGACGGTGAGCTCTAGCTTCATCTTAGGCATGAATGCCAGCTGGGTGACTTTGGGCCAATCACCAGGAGACTGTGAGTTCTAGTGATAGCGTAGGCATGAAAGCCAGGAGACGGTGAGTTCTAGTCCCACCTTAACCATGAAAACCAACTTTGGGCCAGTCAATTTACGTCAGGCCAACCCACATCCCAGGGTTGTTGTTATGGGGGGAAATAAACGTAAGAAGGAGTTTTATGTATGGTACATGTAAAGGTGGGATTAAAAAGATCTATTGCATAATTTTTTTAAAAAAATCAATTTAAACAAAAAACTTCTCACACCCACTGCTAGGGATCTGGAAACACATTTTTCAGAATTACTTTCCCCCCCTCTTCTGTCTGTGACTCATCATCCCTCCAAGATTGTTCTGATGCAATTTGGCAGAAAATGTTGACAGCCCAATTTGAGGCTTTAGAAATAAATAATAGAAATATTACAATCCCATATGTTTTGCTTTACTTTACTTCCCTCTGTCTAACTCCCCAAAATGGGGGGGGGGGGGCGGCACCAAACAGCCAAAAGTTCAGTCTTTGCTATAGCTACCACATAGCCGGTCAATTCCCTGTGGTCTTGCTAAAGAATCCTAGATAGAGATGGCCGGGAGGGACCTTGAGGTCTTCTAGTCCAGCCCCTCTTCCCGCCCAAGAAGGAATCCCAGACAAATGGCTGCTCCCTGCAACCATGCTTGAAATCCTCCAGGAACGGTGCCCTCACAATTTTAGGAAAAAGACGGTTTCTTGTGTAGTAGCTGTTCTAACCGAGGCTTCCCCAAAGCGTGCAGCAAGCTTCTTGTCCCGACAAAAAACACCTTTTATTAATTTGCTGTGGATTCTGCTCATTCACATCCAGCAAAGTCTTTCCAGGGGGGATTTACAGTCACCGACCTTATCTGGCTTGGAGAGCTGCCAGGCCGAGATCTGCAAAACTTGGCAAGGAGCCTCGGAGAGTCACGAACCAATTAAGCGAACTAATTGTCTCCTGCAAACTTTACTCCCCTTTCGCTCCTCTTTTATGGTGAATGGCCTCTCTTTTGGGAGAGGCCATTCACC